TATAATAATGTTGTCAAACTTGCATGCTCTGCATTCAGAAATATAGCTGGCATCTGCAATGTCACGCATCTCGGTGTTTCCCACCAGGGAGGCATTTGATTTCCAGCTATTTGAATATGTTTAAAAGTGAAGGCCAACTTTTATGCGGGAATTAAATTCAAAACTGCAGAAGTTTCATACGGAAATATACCACTGCGTGATTATTATATACAAACACTTCAGCATAATCTGAAACGTCAGAGATTTTCTCTGACTTGCTGATCCCCAGTGCTGGATTAGTGTTTTGCCCATATTCCTCAACACTCATTTCTCTTACAGACGATCTTCTTCATAGTTCGACCTGTGCAAAGCATTGAAATGCTGCTGAATCATGCTGTCATGCATAATTCATTCATTTCGTTAGCGTTTGACCATCACATCATTGTTTTTAATACAAAACAAGCGCCGCCCAATCGAGGCGCACTTCTGGCTTCATTGTCAGCACTGCAGGGACCCGTGAGTTCGTACTGTAACATATGATTAATATCGGCCGTGAATGAGAAGGAATTTTTTGGGCAAAAACTCATAATTGCGTTCAAGATGTTTTGTTTCATGCGCTGTCACGAACGCTCTGATAAATTATGCAAAATATTGGATCAATTACGGCAAACTTAATCAAGCAGTTAATTAAAGTGCTGAAGGCCGATTAGCAGAACGTTTCTAAAGTACGCTCAACCGTAGTTCTAGCTTTCCTTCTATTATAACATGGTCACGACGGCATTTCCACGTTTCCTTGACATTCGAAAACATCTGCACGTTATCAACCCTGCCAGACTTCATTTAAACAGATGATCAGGCTTATGAATGATTCAGTTTTGGCTTTGGCAATATGATTGGCAATCGTTTCGTTTCCACAGATTACAGTCGCTTCGCAATCAAAGCAGTTCTTATTTTAGACCCTGAGCGTCATTCACATTTTAATTACGTACTCAAACAATTTTTATTTCAACGGTCGTTCAACGTCCATAAATTTTCCTTGCCATTCGTATTTGTAGTGCGCAACAGATCACAGCTATTTGTCAGTCATAATTGCTGAAAAAAGAATTCATGCATTTTCTAGTTACAGTCCAGTTCCCTTAGTGCCATTACTCTTCTGGGAGAGCAGCGAATATCATTGAACGTTTTAAGTGATTATGCAAACATATCTTTTCACGGTATAAAGTCAACAACACACGATGGGTACGTTCATTTACGAGTAAGCACCATTTGTCTGCTAGGATTCAGGAAAGCCATGGATTCAGGCCCATGGAATGGATTCTAAGGCGTGGAAATTTAACTTATTCTGTGCCTGCTCGTTATGGCTTGCCATACGCCTTCAGTGTGACGAAACCAACTGTATTAATTTTGGAGGATTAGCTTCTTTTGTTTACTTCAGCATTGTTTACGCTTATTTTTGATATTTTCTATGAGTGATAATGCGGTAGCAGGAACATGACAGTGCATCATCTTCCCACTAATGTTGGTGAAATATCGTATGCTTAAGTATAATGCTCAAATATGTTACTTGTCAGTCCAGAAAATCAGCTAACAAGAACAAGACCTCTTTTGGTAGCATGATCAGTATTAAAAAGGATTTTCTATTAACGAATCATGGAAAATATCTTAAACTGCCGTAGTAACAGAAAACATATGATGTTTATTATAATTTGTTTTGTCGAGACCTAGCAGAAGTGCAATTTTTATTTTCCATCGAAGTCCCATCTACAACCAACTATTTTCAGCCAGAATTCATGAAAACAGCACGTAAGATTACCAGCATAATTTTAAAGCCCTAGTTCAGCTTTCAAACGACATCGCCATGCACATGAAATGAAGTCAATAATGCAAATTACACGATGGAGCTATCCCCGCGATCCGATTAAATAATTAAAGCCGCTATTTGTCAGTCAATAATCGTTCAGCGTGATTGTAGTTTCTTTTCCCATGCGACTGAGAGACAGTATGGAAACATCAGAGTATGTTGAGGTAATTGAAAGGTCTGAATCGTTAAATGAAAGACTTAACTAATTAGTTAATGAGGACAAGAGACAGAAACTTTGAAAGATAGTCGAAACCGGCTTTACAGCATGGCTTGCGCGTCACCGTGATAATAGCGGTTAGAGGGCTCCAAACCTCGAATAGCTTCAGCGGGATAGCTAGAACGGGAAAATAATTATACTGTCATTTTCAGCTTCATATTCAACACTGCATCGTGTGCAGTTATCGTTCGTTTGTACGTTGATTCTGAAATCAATCAGCATATTGAACTGATATCAGTAAGTTACGGCCAGCTCTATGAAATATGGAATTATTATACCATACGAACGACATGACGACACCTTGTCTGAAAGCAACCGTATTCGCAGTGCGCATGTACGG